AAGTAGACGGTTCGCAACAGTGGTTGTCTTCTGGCGAATAGCCTCTTCCCCAAACCATCGGGACATGTACCCGTACTGCATTATCCGAGCATTTGGTACCACTGATGGCAGCATTTTTGCATCCTTGAGCCAGTTGACATAGGATGGCGCTTCGGGTGTGCCGACATTCTTGCTCCAGGTATCGTCGGGGTGGGAACCGATGCCATGGATGGCGACGATACTATAAGGTATTAGAAAATGGAAAGATCCGAGGACGAAGGCAGCGTACTCAACAATGGGTGTTTGGCCTCCAGCTGTCTCCACTGCGGGTTCGTACAGAGTCCTAAGCCCTGTGTCGTCGTCCGTCACGGGCCGAACCTTGATCAATTAGCATACTCGTCTGCTGACATCAGAATAGGGCATACCATAGTAGCAATTAACCAATGTTTTGAGCGACTGAATTGTAGATTTAGATGATCAGAGATAGGGGTTTGATGATCATCAAACGATGGTAAAGTTAGTAATAAAGGATGGCTAACTTTGCACCATTTGCAGGCTGCAGGTTGCAGCCTGCAGCTGAAAGAGGCAAACTGGAGCCACAAATTAAGGCTGAGCCGCCCCCAACCCATTCTGCCTAAAGCCTGCCCATGGAATATTTATTTTCAGAACATCAAATTCTTGAATCCATCCCTCTCCATTTAGTTTGGTTCCACGATCGAATATACATCAAGCCTCTACCCAAATACCTGCTCTCGTATAGATTCTGGGAAATGTTTCTTGTGAATCAATCCACTTATCTCGGTGGTCGTCGAGACGCCATTCGAAAAGCAGCGTTAGGATATCTGCGAACCTATTGCTACCTGATTCAACACGAGTCTGACTTCCGCATCGCGAAGCAGGACCACCTCTGCCTTGTTCCCCATAGGGTGGGTTGGGTAGCCTTCTGTCGCTTCATTTCTGCCTTGGACCAGACCAAGGACGCCAACGTGTTGGGCCGATATCGCTATGGAGAGCTGAGGCTTTCCCGCCTAAACTTCTACGCGCCATTCTTCCTCCGCAAATTCCACTTTGAACAAATCCATGGCCAATATGGAGATTATTTTGCGAGGCTCTATGGGCCCATTTTCTTCATCTTTGCTATAGTCTCGACTATACTAAATTCTATGCAGGTTGGGCTGGCGGTTGATCAGGTTGCTACGACACATTGGCTCTCGTTATGGCCTGCCTTTCGTTCTTTTAGTGCCGTTGTACTAATTGGGGCGGCACTTCTATCACTCTGCTTTATCATTCTTTGGTTGTGGCTTTTTCTAAATGAGTGGGTATATGCTATAAGAGTTCGCAGACAAAAGAAATGGGAGCAAAAATTAACCCAGTGCTAAGGAATAAGAAGCAGAAATCTCTATGATCCACCTATTTTGCTTTCTTAGCTTGCATAAAACATTCCACTCCTTCATACAAATGGTCACCAGAGTGTATGAATTTTGTTACATAATCCATCATCAAGCTGAGGGTTGCATGCTAGGATATTACTATTTCAGCCGCACGAGGCTGTGATGAAAATAAGACGTTGATAAGAACAGCTCATGTACGCTTTTAGTCTTTGACTTCAATCTCTCAATCATCGACATCTAAGATGGTATTTGCCCGTAACGCTCTATTAGCGTTCTACACTAACAGTAAATAAGGTTCGGCCCGTGGAAGATGCGATCGGCTTGACAGTTCTCCGCGACCCGCTCGCACAACCGATAGTGGGACCTCAAGCACAGGCCGTTGACGTTGAGCACGTCCTCCCTAAACTTGTCTCCTTAGTTGTCTCTAACTAGGTTTACAGTATTGTCGCAATCCATGGCATTGGTGCCCACCCTGATGATACCTGGTGTAAGAATGTCGGCACACCAGACGCGCCATGCTACGTGAACTGGCTTACCCACGAGGGCATGTTACCACAAGCCGCCCCAAATGCCCGGATACTGCGATATGGGTACGAGTCTGAGTGGTTTGGAGAGAATGCAATTTCCCAGAAGACGACGACTGTTGCAGATCGGCTCCTTCTCACCTTAAGACGTGAAAGAAAGGTAAGTAGCTAGCTTAGGTTGATCTAATCGCTAAAACAATATATTGTAGGAGTTTCCCCTTCGCCCATTGATAATGATAGCGCATTGCTTTGGCGGACTAGTAGTCTTAAAGGTTGGTCCTGTAGACCCTCTTATTGCCTTTAACGAACACTAGTAGGCTCTCCTCAAAGCGCAATACTATAAAGATGAGTGGCCGGGTATATTTGAGTCTACCACTGGGCTCGTGTTCTTCGGCACACCATTCAGAGGATCGGTGGGCATGAAACAGAGTGAGATGCTTGAAGCGGCACAGAGGGAATACAACGAGGATCAAATCCAGACAGAAGTGCTACGGGTACTTGAACCAGGGAACGAGTTCCTTCAAGAACTTGTTGATAGCTTCTGCAAGACACGGTCACAAGCAAACAAGGCACGAGTCACCTGTTTCTTCGAGATGAAAGCAAGCAATGTTGGAGCTGTTGTTGGCGGACAAGGACGAATAGTATGTCAAGTTCATATTTACTGTCAAGTTGCTAACAATTTGTTAGAGATTCGTGGTGAATGAGAGCTCAGGCTGTCTTGACCCCTCAGAGTCAACTAAAAATTACTCCCTCTCCCGAACCCACTTTAATATGAACAAATTTGGGAAGCCGACAGAAGAAGACTTCTTAACTGTGTCCGAGGTAATTCAGGATATGGTTAAGGTAGCTCCTCAACTAGTCATAGCACGAGCTAAATGTGAATATACCCCCTTGTTTCTTGAACACTATATATAGTAAAGAATAGGGTCTTAATTGTTAATCCTCAACCTTAGTAGCCAACAAAAAACACCAGGTTCCTTTTTCTCTCAAAGGCGTCCCGTCAGTAAGTCACTTTGTTGGACGTGAAAGTGAGATAAAGCTACTCGAGGACTCTGTTCTTCCAGCTCCTTCAAGACCTCGGCGCAAAGTCTACGTAATTCACGGCTTAGGTGGAATAGGAAAGACACAGGTCGCGATTGAGTTTGCCCGGAAGCATCACCAGAGGTATAACGCCGTATTCTGGCTTGATGGGTCATCGAGGGACACTTTGTTTCAGTCACTAGTCGATATCGCACGTAGGTTGCCACGAGATGAATTGACAGCGGATATAGCGCAAGAGCTTTCAAATCCAAAGATTGATGTTGAAGCTGTGATAAGGGGCGTACAGCAATGGCTGTCGCTCCCTTCAAATCGACAGTGGCTTCTTATCTTCGATAACATCGACCGCGACCATACAAATGGCCAAGATCTACAATCATACGACGTAAAGGATTTTTTCCCTGATGCAGACCATGGATCAATCATCATCACAAGTCGGTTGTCCAATCTTCAAAGATATGGAAGGGGCTCTAAGCTAAGCATTGTTGACGATGAAGAAGCGATGACTATCTTAGAGAATAACGCAGATAGAGTGATTCAAGGTAAGTAATAGAGCCTAATTTTATTTGATATCTATATGTAGTCTTACTATTACTATAGGCTCGATAGAGGCTTCCTTGATACTTGATCGGCTCCAAGGGCTCCCTCTCGCACTAACACAAGCTGGGGCGTATTTACGAGAAACGAGCATTACACTCTCTGATTATATAAAACACTACAATCACACCTGGGATACATTAATGCAACATCAAGATGAGTTTCCCTTACAGGAGTACTTGGATCGAACTATTTTAACAACGTGGAAAATGTCATACAATCAAGTAGTAGCCCAAAATCAGGACGCAGCAGGTTTATTAAGGTTGTGGGCCTTCTTAGATCATACAGACTTGTGGTATGAGATGGTTTCCTCTGCTTTACAGCTTCTTCCTGAGCTTGATATTGCGGTATCTGATTGGCTGCTTCAAGTGGCTAGATCTCAGCTCAAGTTCTTGAGTGCAATGAGAATACTTTCGCGATACTCACTTGTTGATTCGCGAGAGGGCACGGCTAGTCACTCGATGCACGCTGTCTTACACAAATGGTGCTTCTTACTATCTGAAGGAAGTGAAAGAAAAGACTTGTCTATAGCAGCGATTGGTATGGTAGCGTTAACGGTTCCCTCCGAATCTGCTTACAAGGATCGACTATTACAGAGGCGAATGTTACCACACCTTCTATATATCTACCCGTTTGCTCGCGACAATAGATGGGCTCAATGGGACATAATTGATGGCAATCACCAGGGGTGGATATTTTCCCAACTAGCGATGATATTTGGAGATCAAGACAAGCTGGTGGAGGCCGAGCAGATGTACCAGCGGGCGTTGCAAGGCTATAAGAAGGCCCTTGGACCAGATCACACATCGACCCTGAATACAGTCAACAACTTAGGCAACCTCTACTCTGATCAAGGCAAGCTGGTGGAGGCCGAGCAGATGTACCAGCGGGCGTTGCAAGGCAAAGAGAAGGCCCTTGGACCAGATCACACATCGACCCTGAATACAGTCAACAATCCTATCTCGTCAAGACTTCGTCAACGCACTTCCCATAATAACACGTTCTCCGAGCATTCTAGCGACACACTACTAAGAAATAAGCGGAAGAACAGCCAAAAAGAGAATAGTAAAAATAAGAAACCACGGCGGAAGGAAAATTCCAAGTTGTGATAACAATTCAAGAAAAGGCTGACCTTTGTCAGCCGATAGATACGTCTGTTATACAAGGTGCGATGCTAACCTTTTTCACATCTATTTATTTGGACAACAACTGTTTTGTACAAATTCACGATTTAATAACATATAACCTTTTATTATTAAGAACAACTATTACTACTAGCAAAATCGAAAGAAATCCACGCTGAACGGATTCTTAGCTCTGTGCTTACGCGTAATTTCATACCTATAAGAAGTAGGCGTTCAAGCCCCTTTTAGTGACTGTGATGTTAATGATAGCAGCTCGGATTGGAGATGAAGCAACGACTACTAAAAGCAGCAGTTAGAAAAAGCTCATTCGAAAGAATGTTTTACTAGAGATGTATACAGGGCCGGGAATTGGAGGAAACAGCGGTAGGTATGCTTTAGAAGATGTAAATTAAATAGAATTGAATGGTTAGCTCTACTTTAGAAACTACTCGAACCATTTATTAATTCTCAAATATAATCAGAGTTGGGCGCCGATAATATTAATAAGTATCGTGGCCTTCCTCGATAATATGTCGTATCGGATAGAAGTCATCCGGTAATATATTGGAAGTTTAAAAAGTATCGATATATATCGATATATCTCGCTAAGGCTCGGAAAAATACTTAAACCGTGCCGATAGCTAATAAAATCATCTTATTCGCTAGTGCCCCCCTTTTATTCTAAATTTAGGAATCAGAAGTAGTACTGGGGACGAAAAATTTACTCTAATTAAGTCTCGTATCACGTGCCATGTCAAGTGTGCGACATCCGATAAATCGATAATCGGCAGGATATATATCGACATTATACCGGGATAAATATCGCGATATAATCGATATATATCGTATCGGCGCCCAAGTCTGAATATAATGCTTTAAACGTGAGATTTTGAATAGACAATAGGAAAAACCTGCAATTCACATTTATTTTTAGATAGATATATTGGTTGTGCCTTGACTTTATCGTATCCGTCTTCATCTTACCGCTACTCTGTGCCTTAGCCAATTTTCCTGGTTAATCTGAAAGCTCACTAGCTTAATAGCTCCTTAGAGCTGTAAGAATACACTAATTTCCGCGGCTTCTCTTGCTCCCCGAAAGCCAGGAGCAGGTATATATGGAAATATACAGGTTTTGGCTAGACATCTGAATTCGGTACCCCTCTAAAGAAGGAGGGGAGGGCTATATATATAGACATTTGAGGCCAAGCATACTCCTCCCAAGTTACACCATTAAAAGTGGGTCACATCTCAACAGTATAGTCACCTTCGCCGCTCTCCCATATATATGAGTGCGAGAGGCCAGAACTCGAATAGCTCAAAGTTGTGGTTTTAAATATTCAATTAAGAAGTATATACAAACTCTTACTCTTTATATAGAGGGATGAAGAGTTTCTGGATTATTCTACTCCACCGCTTGGCAGTGCTTAGCGAGGGCATGGCCTGAGTACCTATCAAGGGTTCTACCCCTCACAATGAGGTCTAATCAGAATTATTCACCAATTAAATTCAGTCCTATAAGAAAGGTCGCGAGAAAACCCTAGGTTATCAAGGGACGAGATCAGGCGACTCTCCTATCCGCGCCTCGTTTCACGAAGGTAGGTAAACCACGTACTTGAGGTCGCGCACTTAATCACGTGTCCCGCATACATTTAGGAAGCTATCCACAACTAGCTCAGGCCAGCTTCTCAACCAACGTAAAAGAGATATCTCATTAAGAGTCTCTTCTCTCCTTGTAATCAATCAATTTAACCAAGTCGCAATTGTCCACGTCCTTGCACTTAAACCCGTGACATAAGTAATATCAGAGGAGGAAAAATCACAAGACACAAAGAGGGGGAGAAAAGTATACGTTGGTTTAATATCAAGAAATATATATAGATCTATCGCAACTAGACACTTCCTTTACAAGGTCTCAGTGCAATTAACAAGGTCTCCTAAAGCCTAGTCATCCTTGCCAACTCACGTCTGCTTCTGAGATCAACCACGTCGCTTCTTTGGCTCTTCTTCATCCCGAGCATAGGCAGTCCAGTAGCTAGCCGACTTCGCTTCTGAGGCCGCTTCTTACCTCCGGTCCCAGTCCCAACTTCCGTTATGAAGGTATCCACCATTTCCTTGGCTCCAGCTAGTTCAGATTCAGGCATCCACGTCTCATTCCATTCTACCCGAAAGTGTCTCTCACCTCTAACCATTTTCTGACCAGTGATTTTGTGGATTCCCCATTCCTGAGTAGGGTCTGTGATTGAAACAGCCGGCTGAGGTTCTTCGGGGTCGGTGGGACTATCTTGTTGCTGCCCTTGGCTTTGAGAAAGTGGTGATGATTCTTGAGAAAATGTGAGACAGTATAGAACTTTTGACTCCACTATCTTTAGTGCAAAGAATCCATGGATGGGAATCTCTTCGCTCTCCTGCATACTACCGCACGAGGTTTCTTCTGTAGCTTGACAAGAGACATCAGGGGAATGAGTGGGTTGGGCTGCAGCGTTACTGTTCCCTAAATCCTTCGTCTACCTGACCCGCTTCCGTGATCGACAGCCTCTCTGAGAGCCAGTGGCGTCGCTCCCATCGTTGTAATATTCGACATCAGAATCATCGGCGCTTCCATCGTCAACCAGTTTCCGGTCTAGGGTTGTGCTTTGAGCGCGTGACTGGGGATTGGCGCTAGATCTGAGTGCGGCAGCAACGGTACTAGCCAATCTGATATGAGCTATTGTGCGAGGACTTTTGCGGCGGACGTTTTCGGTAACACCCCGGCGGCGACGCTTTGGCAGATGATCGTTCTTTAGGTCTGGCTCCTGGGGAGAGGCCGCTGCTAAGTCCAGCTGCAAGGATTGCTTAGGAATGTTGCTATCAGAGACTGTATTGGAAATAGCAGATAACTCTCGCCCGTTTGTAGAGACATGAGAGCTCTTATTCTCCAACTCCTTAGTAACGTCGAGATTCATGCTTCCTTGTATGTTGTCCGTGTCCATCAGTTTGCTGGCTTGGTATGCGATAGACCCGTAGCTAGGGGAGGCTGACCTTGGTCGGTCAGCAGGGAGTCGAAGCTGGATATTGTCGTCTTGGTGGTCGGCGACAAGACAATGAGACGTGAGTGCCGCTCTTGAGCCGAAGCCATCACCGTCCGCCAGCTCGCTCTCTGTAATGCGTGAAGTATTAGGATAGCTGTTATCTGTGAGGTCGAAGTCAGGATTGGTATAGTCGGTTTCAGACTCGGCGCCTGCAGAGTCATCGTCACTGAGGATAATTGGATCTGGGATTGTATGAGTAAGAATAGCTAAATCAAGAAACTTGGTGTGCTTACCTTGAGTGGTTCCTTCTGTTGAGCAGCTAGAATCAAGAGGACTATCACGTCGGGTTCCGTTATCGACCTTTTCAGCTGTGTTACNTCCATCAGTTTGCTGGCTTGGTATGCGATAGACCCGTAGCTAGGGGAGGCTGACCTTGGTCGGTCAGCAGGGAGTCGAAGCTGGATATTGTCGTCTTGGTGGTCGGCGACAAGACAATGAGACGTGAGTGCCGCTCTTGAGCCGAAGCCATCACCGTCCGCCAGCTCGCTCTCTGTAATGCGTGAAGTATTAGGATAGCTGTTATCTGTGAGGTCGAAGTCAGGATTGGTATAGTCGGTTTCAGACTCGGCGCCTGCAGAGTCATCGTCACTGAGGATAATTGGATCTGGGATTGTATGAGTAAGAATAGCTAAATCAAGAAACTTGGTGTGCTTACCTTGAGTGGTTCCTTCTGTTGAGCAGCTAGAATCAAGAGGACTATCACGTCGGGTTCCGTTATCGACCTTTTCAGCTGTGTTACTGTGGTTCGGTTTCGCGCTTGCTAGCACGCTTTTCTGCTTCATACTTGATAGGAGCTCATCTATATAAGGAAAGTCGTCATTGTCATTATTGTCGTCGCAGCTCGGGTCTGTGCTAGATAAGTTGCTATTCTGCTTCATGACCAACAGAAGCTCGCTGTCTAGGGGATTTTGTGTTGCCGTCAAATTTCCTCCACAAATGTTAGATACGATAATCGCGACAGGAAATCTCGACACGTACCTTGCATTTGACTGGTATCTGAGTGACTTTTCTGGAAGGGATATCTCACATCTCGGGATTTGGTCATATCATGTTTTGGAAGATCATTCTGTTGATTGAAATGTGGTGCAGTTTGGAGAACGGGAAAAGATGTACTAGATGCGCTAGAACTATTCAAAGACGTGCGTGCACCTGGTAAAAGAGGAGGCTGGCTATTCGCCGAGGATGTTTGGTAAAAGACAATGTTGTCCATAGTATGCAGAGGGTTAAATGCTCGAATTCGCTTTGGAGTAGAATTCTGAGGATTTTGAGGCGGAAACACCGAGGTTTGTATAGCTATCACACCTGTGCTACTACGGATTTCAAACATGCTGAGATGTATAGATATCTCCAGGTGAAAGCAGCTCCGCATTCCTATCTGCATGCCCATCAGAGACACTTGTCCCGTTATAATCCCTCTCTACAAATTTTCCTCCAATTAACTGCTCTTGCCTAAAGTTCGCTTTCCACTTTTGTGACGCGGTATTTGAACAAGGCAAGTTATCGCCTGCGGCCGAGGTTCAACGCTGAAACGGGTGGGGGAAAACGGCCAGGAAATTGAGATGCGAAGCTAGATCTGGCCATTATCATGAGCCATTCTGCTTAAGATCACGCCGAGATGACGAGCGGCAATCCCGCTTCTACTGCTCCGCGCATAAGATCCTTCATATCTGAGGCGGATTCAGCCTACTGGAGACGCAAGCACCACCCTCTCACTCTACTGCAGGCCACTTCTGCCGCGCAATTCTCGGCGAAGCAAGGCAGAAGCCAGCTTTGTCGTCGTGCGGCATTCCTTCGATTGGCCAGGTAATTCCAATGACAGGCTTCCACTATCGCAAGGACCGAGAACACCTTACTGTGAGGATCGTAAGAGTACAACAGCAAAGAGCGGAGCGGAGCAGGGGCTCATGTTCGTATCTTAGCCAATACGACGCGACCTAGAGATATGATCGCCTTCGTGATGATCAAGAGAATCGAATCCATAGGGGTAGATCGAGCATCCGGACTTCAAACAGGCTGTGCCATAATGGTAGCTATGGCAAGGCCGATGAAGGAGCATTCCGAGTGGGCCTGGAAGAGGGGTTGACTGCGCAGGGAGAGACCAGAGCGACCGAGCGAGCAGGGAAAGGGGTAGCGCTGGCAAGGAGGCATTTTTCTAACTGGCCATTTCCCAGAATCAGGAGCAGAAAAGTTCAGCTCCTCCACCTTCTGCAGTCCAAATGTCTAGTATCCGGTCTCAAGACTGCGAGGTATTTCCGCTATTGGGCATGTAGGTGATGGTCCATGTGAAGGCTTGCGTAGAGAGGTGACTCCGAGGTCAGACATGCGTCGTTGCTCCTACAATAGTACTGTAACCGGGATCTCTAGCATCAGGGCCCACACAACCATGAGTATCACTGTGTGGAGAGAAGTAACGAGGAAAGTAATAGATCGAGAATCGGAAAATCGAAAGAAGACGACGAAATGTACAGTAGGGCGAAAGATCTCGTGAGAAGACGAATTCTGGAAACGGAGCGTTTGAAAGCTATCGAATAAAGGCTTGAATTTAGACTCTCGTGAGCGACAAAGCTATAATTCGGTGCTCAAATTTGTTTCCTTGTAGCTAGATGAAATGAGCTGACAATCGTCCGTGAAGAATATCTATCCACTATAGCATAAGTTAGGTCGTATAGAAAGGTGGGGAGGGAGATGAGACCAGCATCGAAATGAGGCAGACTGGGCGCCGCGCATGGAAGACGGGAAAAACGGGACCATGAGTGAGGGTGAATATAGCAGATGAGAGAGTTAAGATCAAAGTGGAAGGGAAGACAGAGGGTTCTTATGGACGATGTCGAAAAGCAGCGTTGGAGCGAAGCGAGTGCGCCTTACCGGAAGCGGCGACGCACGGGCCCGCGCGTTGCCAGAACGAGCACCGCTAAACTCACCGGGGCAGACCCCCCGGAACCTGCGCCCCGCTAACCGTCTCATAGAATACT